TGGAGAGGGAAGCGGATCACCCACCAACCTTGGAAGAGTCCAAGTTCATGGCTAGTTTCTTCATATTTCTTTTCTTCCTTTTTCCTCCCTTCTCTTCCATCGCATGGTTCACCTACACCCTAAGTCATCGGCCACCTCCACAAAACTCTCACCACCGGCCAGCTACAAGCCCACCACCCTTGCCTTTTGGCTAGCACCCAAGCCCTCCATCCCCACCCGACCCCAAGCCACGGCCAAGCCACCTAGCCGCCGGCCCTTCTTCCCCTTGTATCCAAATTTACAATTCCCTCATTACTACTTTCCTATTCTACACTCTCTTTTGGGAAGGTTGCAATTTCAATCATTCAAAATCAAATTTGAATTTGAAACGTTTCCTAAAATAGAATCCTATTTTAGGAAATTTTCTAAAATCAAATTCAAATTTAATTTGAATTGGATTGAAATTAAATCCCATGTCTTAATTAGAGAATCATATTTAAGAAAGTAATAAATCTTTCTTAATTTCCCTACCAATGTCGTCGGCCCCTTCATGGTCCCCATTGAATTACTTTTTAAACTTCAAGCTCCTCTCTTGGAAATAATTCAAAACATTTCCCTCTCTTACCCGCCCCTACGCCTTTCCTAATCACACCTAAATCCTTTCCAAGTTAAAGGATTAATTAGGGAAACAATTGATTTCCCTCCACCTTCCTCCCTCTAAAATTTGAACCTATTTCTTTCCCAAGCCCCCCCTCCCCTCTTTGGTCGGCCACCTCTCTCCCTCTTCTCCACTTGAATACTTGAGAGAAATTTCTCTCTCAAGAAGAATCCTTAAGGGAAGCAAAGACCTTCGTCTCCAACACTTCAACCTTACGGAAACGATGTATGCTGATCCCGACCTTGACTCCGGCTTCGTCTACAACGAGCAAGGAAGCGTCGACATTCTCCGGTCAACCCGGAAATAGACAATTCCGCCGAAGAATACTTGGATCGTATCATCTTCACCTTGTCCGAAGCAATCGAAGAGCAGTTTGCCAACGTTCAGTGGCAAATCCCTTCCGTTCCACGATGAGGGTGAACTTTTTGCCCTATTCAAATTCTCTTATAATCCTCTGCTCTTGTAGGTTGCGATTCAAGCACAAGGAGTCATGCCAAGCTCTCTGCCTTCGCTTAGTAAACGTAGGATTTGAGTTTTGATTTTCTATGTTTTCTAATCTCATTGTTAACCTAGGAATTCTATTGAACATCTACTTAATTTGCAACGATTGATATTCTAATTACTTTGGTGATTCTAACTCTTAGCATGTGATTTGGCCTGAGCAAAGCCATCCCTCTTTTGTTTTCTATTATCGTTTAGTGGGTAACGTTCATAATTATTAATTGATAATCAAAACGTGCAAGTTCTTATGGCATTCATTTAAATCATACTTAGTCCTGCATCAATTAATCAAAGATGTCATTTGTGGGATTTGCAATATAGACGTCAGAAGGTTCGTGAGAAATCTCACAATGGTTTAGCTCTTACAAGTTGATTAAATGTATGTTCAAGTACTTACAAAATCCCAGAGAAATTTACAAACTTCAACATATGAACACTTCTTGCACATTGTAAATCACTTTTGTCGTGCCCTATAATTGAAAGAAAGGTGCATGAAATTTGGATGAATTGCAAGTTTATGAACATTCTTACATGCTTGGATTGCTCACACCATTTTATGTAGCCATTTCAACTTAAAAATAGCATGCATAAACTCACATAATTCCAAAAGGAGGGATTGGGTATAACATATGGGCCTTTGAGGGTCCATTGAATACCCCCAAATTTGCTTTACAAACATTTGAAATTAAATGAATATCTTCATGACCTTTGCAAGTTTTAAATGAACAACAATCCTAGCAAATAAGGGTGAGATCCTACATCCCATGTCAATTGTGCATGACATAAACATTAAGTGGGAAGCAATGTAACTCACAACACTTAAAGCCTAAATATTGGCATTTGATTTGGAATTAAATAACAACACTTAACTTAAGGATTGGTCGTAGGAAAAAGGTGTAAGGCACAACATGAATGCTCTTACATGCATTTGGGAGGTGTTAGATACTAATTCAACGACTCTACGCGCATCACCATCCCCTACGGGCTAACATATGAGAGCAACCCGTGACAAATCACCAGATTTTCATGGGTTTGCAAAGTGGACAGATATTTTGGGATTTTAGAAAACGAAATGCAAGGTTTTTATGGACTCAGGGAGTTTGGAGCGTCAACCACACATCAACAGCTTAAAGACCTAGGATTTTCTAAGTTTTAAGGGATTTTACCTCACCGGGTCAAGTCGCGGCGTGACCGGATATCCACTCGCCTTGCAAAGGCGAGAAACAGAGGAAAGGAAGGTGAGTTTGCAGTCCAAAAATGCTCCGAACCGCTATTTCCATTGTTTGAATGCTCTAAGATGTCATCTCCGCTGTCACAAGCTTGAAGAAGTTGAAGGGAGAGGAAGAAGAAGGTTCCTACATGCACCAAACTCCTCCACAGCCTTCCCACTCAACTTCAAGAACAACAGCAGGGAAGAAAGTCTAGACCGACACCTTGCTTCAGCCGAACACCCACGATAAATGGGAAAGACTTCTCAAGCAGTTCAACACTCGGGTCACTACCTCGATCATCCCATACCACACGTATGGAATATGCCGCTCAATTGTTTGATCTGATTCTCAGGCACACATGAACGTGAGCCGCCCAGTTTCTCTCTTGAATCGCAAGAAGGAGCAGCAACTCTTGGCACTCATCTCCCTCTAGATCAGGCTGATGCACGTAAGAGCCGAACACAGGCTCCCTCTGGCCTACCTCTATTTCGTCTGGGATAAGAACACGCACGAGCCAAAGATTCTCCCTCTCGACTCCGCTCCTTCCTCTCTTATGAATCGGATGCAAGAAACGAAAGTCGAGGTCGCACCTCCCTCTCTCATTTCGAGAAATTAGTAGGTTCGAAGTCCGGACGAGGAGAACCATCCGGATTTTCTGCGTATTTAATGAGTATTTACTGCGTATTTGCAAATACTCAATAAATACTCAGCAAATACTCAGTTGTGAGTATTACTGAGTTTTTGTAAGTATTTTTCGAGTATTTTGTAAGTATTTGTTGAGTATTTATTGATTTACTACGCATTTACTAACTATTTGCTTAGTATTTATAAATACTCAGCAAATACTTAGTAAATACGCAGCAATCCAGACGGTTCTTCCAGTCTGAACTCTTCACAGAATAATTTCTTCTCTTCTGGGCAAGCCGCTCCAAGGAAGAAGTTCCGCTCGACACCTCTGTCCGCACACAGCCGAAAGAGAAATTATTCTGTATGTACTCCGATCGCAGAGGACCGTTCGTATTTGTTGCATAATTACTGGGTATTTATAGATGCATAGCAAATACTCAACAAATCCTCAGTTGTGAGTATTTGTTGAGTATTTAGTGAGTAATTGATGAGTTTTTGCTGACTATTTATTGAGTAATTGCTGAATTTTGTTGATTTTCTATGTATTGAGTATTTACTGTGTATTTTTAAATACGTAGTAAATACTCAACAAATACGCAGCAATCTGGACGGTTCTTTGCGTTCGAAGTCCACACAGAATAATAAGACTCTCACTCTCGTTTTTGTTTGGCTCCGCCCCAGAAGCCAGAGCAGTAATAGCCAAAATGAAGAAGGAAACCTGCTCTCCGTCTCACACCCCACTCGACTGTACAAAACCGCATGAAACAGCAAGATGAATCCCCCAAGGCGCTTGATTTCGTCGAATTGGAATGATCTGCGTGCTATCCTTTGCCATACGGCATTTAACCGAAATACAGCACGCGCATGGAGCGATTTTCAACACAATTAGATCCATTGGATTGTTCTTATTTGGAAATGATTTGAATTGAGTTTAAAAGTTAATTGGAGCTTAACTTAGAAAAATTGGGCTGAAATTGAGCCTGAATCGAACTCGATTTAAAACGATTTGGGTCGATTCGAGTTAGATTTGGCTCGATCAAGTCAATTTGTCAAAATTGAGCTCGAATCGGTGCCGATTTGAGTTAATTTTGGGTTTGAAATGGCTCAATTTAATTGATCAGGTTCAATTGAACCCAATCGAATGCCATTCGACTCAATTTGGGTCAAGTCGAGACGAAAAAAATGTCAACAAAAATTTTGGCTTCTCTAACTCAAACTTTAAAACCACTTTGAGAAATAATTGCTACCCACTAAAATGAATGGGTGACTTGAAAAAGAGAGAATAAATGGTGCTTATAATATTTAATACATGAGCTCTCAATGGATATAAGTATATAACACTATCATAAAGCTTAATGACAACGATTTGGATAGCCCAAGGGAGTAAAGCAAGGAAGTCTCCATCTATGATAATATCTAAAGGTATAACGGGTATAATGGCATGAGATCTATGTCTTAATCAATACTAAAGGAAACAAAATGAGGCGATCTTGGTCCAAATATCTCCTACGATCAACAATGCAATGCAGCTCTAGTAAAGGTGGTGATGGCACTATAAGGAGGAAAAGTAGATTTTAAATGGAGGAAGATCCCTAACTCATTTTTCATACTACCCAGTGGGGTGGGTGTGGAGGGCAAAAGTTTTGCATAGTGAGGGTGGGGGAGGGAGCCAAAAGTATTGGTTAGTGGGCTGAAAGGTAACCCAGTTAAGAGATTGGTATGCTTGAAGACCACTATGCTCCAAACGCCTATGTTGAGTATAGGAAGACGAATCAAGGAAGGGATCCTCATGCAAATGTGTTAAGTTTCATACGGTCCACCAAGCAACTATGGGAAAAATGGGCATTTCATAAAATTAAATTGAAATCGCTATATATGTTTTCCTACTATTAGATCTATTTTAGCTTGAAGGAGCAGATGCAATACAATTACTATATCATGTAAACTGTGCAAACATAATAAGCCGAACCCATCCATTAAGTTCAATACTACTTCAGAATATGTGAATTAAAACATGAGCATACCTTTTATTCCGTGGGCACCAAATTCGCACGACTTCCCAAATACAATTTTGAGAAGTTGTCTTCTTTTTAAATGGAATAATACTCTCTGAATTTCCTGCATTACCATAAGTGGTTCAACTTCTTATGATGAAAGAACAGAAAAATAGAATTATTACAACCTTCTCAACCATAATAACTACGGTTAAGCTACAAATCATGCTCTTCAACAATGGATTTCGGTGGTGGAAACTTGCTCCTTTTAATTGGTGATGATTTACTTACCCATGCTAGATTTTCCACTCGCAAAATCCTGCAAGCAACATTGCCAGATTTGGTTCTTACACACTCCAGGGAGATCTCAAAATTGAGACAATTCAAGGAGAAAACATGGATGGATAAAAAAAAGAGTGGATGATCTTAACAACTGATATGATGACATCTAGAACGTATAAATGATTTTAAATTGTAATCAACTACACATTAGTCACATAATACTTCTACTTCTAAGTGGCAGAATGCCCCCAGATGCTTATTTGGAATGCATCATTGAAGACCAAACTTAATAATAAGCGAGTCATATCCCTCATTGGCACTTGGCGACCACAACCATAAATTTGTTGCATTAGCGTTCTATTTGTAACTCGTCCAAAGTTACTCCAAGATTACATTAGCTTGTCATTAAGTAGCTAGCTTGGTAGCAAATGCCGTAAGTCATCATTTTTCAGTAAACTTCAGAATAAGATCCACATTATTGCCCAAATAAGTTTAGACCAAGAGTACAATTGTCAACCCATGATTATATTATACACTTGCTCGAACTGTAGAACATAATTTATTGGTAAACTTCTGCAATAAGGAACTCAACGTGAACACAAAGTTACTTTAAACAGTAGTATCTCTGCTGAGATGATATTCGCCCATAGAAACTACCTATTAATGTGATTTGGCAATAAAGACCTCATTGAGCTAGATATCGGACTATACAAAATTATTAAATTAATTGCTCTATCACGTGTGCAATCTCTAAAACTTTAAAAGCTTTGTAAGAAAATTAAAATTATATTTACTAAATTCAAATAACATAGAACTGGATTTTGAACCAAGCTAATCAAATCACACGGCTACCATATGCTGACTGAACGTATCATGCATTTTGATACGTTAAAAAGCTAAACGAACTTGTAAAGAAAGTTGATTGATATGGGAGCATCCAAGCAAAAATTCAGGCAGGTCTTTCCTTATCAATGCAAGTACTCTAAACTAGTGAAGCATATAACCAACATAGTATTTGTTCTGGCACATCCAAATCACTAAAGGTTTAATGCATTTTAAAAAAAAATAATGTAGGATACGATTCGACACTTGTACACAAAGAAAACCTAAACCCTTATTTTTAAGGATAATTTTTTAATTAAGTAGAATTCATTACGAACAATCAGATTTGGTATACAATTAGAGTTTGATCATTCTGGTCTCAACTCTAAATTGAAATTTCAATATCAAATTGAGTTTACGTTGGAGTCAAGGAAAAAATGATCGATTTTGAATCAATTTTTTTGTTGATCTGAGCCAAGTTTCTTAGTTTTAAGAAATAATTTTGAAATTCCTTATGGTATATGGATAAGAATGCACTTAAATCAGTAAAAATACACAAACAAGTGTATTTTTATATGAATTGAGTTCAACGACTAATTTCTAGCGAGCAAATTTTTAGTAGAAGGAAAATTATTTTAATTGAGTTGATTGAAACTCAAGCTATTATTAAGAGAGTTTGGAGTTTCAAACAAAATTAAATGCCTACATGTAATAATTATGATTTATGTTTCTAATAAAACATTTCGTATCCCAATAAATGCATAAAAAGAGCTGAAAGCAATGAAAGACTAATCTGTCATATCGAGGTTCAATGATACCATACCTAGCCTGATTGTATATATGTATTTTTGAATAAAATTGAATTAATGACCGTTTGAGATATACATTTTGTAATATTTCCATACTAGAATTTTTCATAGGAATTATAACATGTTGCATTGTTGTATTGATACATGAATTATCCATAACATTTACTGTATAGTCACTCCTAAATTTTTCATTGTTCATACTTCCTCATCTCCTTTTCGTTTAAATTTTAATAGATAGGAGTTACACTACATATATATATATATATACATATATACATATATACATATATATATACATAACAACATCAAGCTTTTATCCCACTACGTGGGGTTGGCTAAATGAATCATTTTTCTCCTTTGTCCTGTAAAGAGTAAAATACTCGTTTAAATCTAATAAAGAAATGTCATTTCTAATATTTTCTAACCAAGTCTTTTTAAGTTAACCTCTATCTTTCTTAACATAGGCCAAATCTAATACATCTACTCTCCTAACAGGGTCATCAGAAGGCCGCCATTTTACATGACAAAACTATCTAAGGCAACTCTCTCTAATCTTATTTGTCACTGGAACTACTCCAACCTTTTCAAGGATATGCTTGTTTTGTATCCTGTCTCTAAGAGAAAAACCACTCATCCACCTGAGCATCCTCATCTAAGCAACTTTTAACTTAATATTATGCTTCTCTTTTATGGACAACATTCTACGCCATAAAGCATTGCAGGTCTCACCACCATTTTATAAAATTTTCCATTAAGTTTGAGTGGTACTTTTCTATCACTCAACAAACCCCGAAACATTCCTCCGCTTCAATCATCCAACTTGAATTCTACTAATAATAACCCCATCAATTTCACCATCACTCTGAACAATAGACCCAAGATATCTAAAATAAGTACACTTATTAATGACTTGGTCACTCAAAGTCACAAACCCCCCACTAGATCTATAACTACTAAAATTACACTCCATGTATTCGATTTTAGATCTACTTAAACGAAAACCTTTAGAATCTAAGGATGACCGTAATAATTCGAGTTTATCTTCAACTCCCTCTCTAGTCTTATCAACAAGAAAAATATCATCAGCAAAAAGCATATACCAAGGTACATCCTCTTGCAAATGTCTAGTGAAAACATCCATGAATAAAGCAAAAAGATAAGGGCTTAAGGCTAATCTTTGATGTAGTCCAACTGAAATACATAAATACTTGGTCAAACCATCTTGTATTTGAACACAAGTAATAGCTCTTGCATACATATCCCTAATGACTTGAATAGTTGAATATAAGCATTATTAACCCCTTTCTTTTCTAGAACTCTCCATAGCACTTCTCTTGGAACTTTATCATATGCTTTCTTAAAATCAATAAATATCATATATGTGTGTGTGTATATTTGGTATTTTGTGTTTTGTAGTCGGTCGTTGTTCGTACCTTTCTTTTGAGGATTAGAAAGTTTTATTTCTATAGTTGTTTCTTTCACTTTTCTTTTCACATGTAGTTGTTTCTACTTTGTTGATGTACTACTATTTGGGTTCATAATAATGAAATAAAACTTCTATTTATCTTTCGTTGTTTACTCTAATATGTTATGTTTATATTATTTGTATGTGAACTCTCCTTCTTGTGAATACAAAACAAATCTTCATATCCATACATTACCTCCTGTGTTACCAGAATGTATTACCTTCGGGACTCGGAGTGTGACAACGAATATGTAAAAATTCATCATAAAAATCTAACCACCATTTATGAATTAATTATAAGACTTATTTAGAGTTAAGTTACCAGAAAATCCAGGTGATTAACTAGAAATATGTTCAGATATACCCTACCTTCAGCTCTTCTTTGGTGTTAAAAAAATTATTCTAACTATTTCAAACTCGTCATCTTATACAGAAAAAAAAAAAAAAAAATTGATTTCTACCATAAAAGAGATGGCACTCTGAGGTCAGCTTAGCCAATTTTATAGATTAAAGGTTTTGTCCAAATGTTTGTGAACAAAATAGTTTTCCTGCATTTTTTTATCTAGGAAAAATTCTAACTGCAGGAGTTTCTATCCCCATGTATAAAATAAAAATTTCACAACGGCTGGGTGTTGATTGAGAACCATATCGTGATGATTGAGCCTCAACTAGAGGGCTACAATCAATAAAACCTCTATTATCCCTTCAACTTCCCAAAATCCATCTTCAGAAATCTTCGTTTGGAAAAATACCTAAAATCCTACTACTTTAGTAAATGGAAAATCACTTTAATAAGCAACAAATCTCCAATAACCAATTTGCTAAAAGAGAAAGTTCTGATGCATGCAAGCGGCGTATACAAAAAAGGCCAAGGTATTTTAGAATTTAGTTAGAAATGAAATCATTTTAAGTTCGTGTCATGCAATATAATAAAGGGCTTACATATTTTTCATGAAAAACTGCATTCTTAGTGGGAGATGTGGCTGCCATCTCATAAAGTACTAGCTGCAAAGCAGCATCTGAAGAGAATTTCAGCTTACTAGGTCTGTTTCCTAACTTTTGTCTGCAGCCCTTGGCACCACAGTAGCAATTTTGATCTGCTCCAAATTGTACAAACCTGTATATTATTTCAGGCTTATAGCTTTCTTAAGAAAATAGCAAGCAACAGGGAATGAGGAATCGCAGGCAATATAAAACAGAAATCAATGTGACGTTCGACAGGAAAACATAGTAAGCATATTCTGTTCATCAAAAAAAGAAGTGCTCTATAAAGTGGCAGACTTATTCTGCGGGACATTACAGAACATACTGATAATCATAAGTCAATTCCTCTCCCTTCTCTATGTCACGAGTTGCAAATATGCCAATTCGTGTCTCGCCATCAATTGTCCTATGAAAGAAATTACATAAGGATACTAATTACCATGAAAATTAACTGAGGAAACAAGGTTCATTTGTAATAACCATTTTTGCATCTCAGTATTAGGTTGGCAGCTGTGATTTATAAATCTAGATTTATTTCCTTTGTATGTGGCATCAATAACCATATCACGATTAATCTCGCAGAGATAGAAGTTAGTCTCCCCACAGTGCTTCATCTTCCAAAGCCTTTCCTCACATGTTTTGTCGTCAATAACTGAAAATGGAAGAAGAGGAGGGGAAGAAAGAGGTTAAAACATTGTTTTATAATTTTATTTCATAATGCGATTAGAAGGCAAAGATATATTTCTAAAGATCATGTTCATATGATAATTTTGCAATTAATCATCCACAGAAATGCATTTATAAAAGGAGGCATCACCTTCCCCAACATATTCAATCACAAAATCTCCTTGTCTCATGTCTTCATCTGTGACTAAGCCCGATCCGCATTTCTCAGTCTATACAAATTACGATTTTGTATCAATGTAAAATTACACCAAATTGTGCAGCTTGTAACTTCATTGAAATCGAAGGAAGAAAAGTGAGAAGCAATTTTTTATTTTATGCTAGAAATGGAAAACGGAGCTAAGAGAATAGCCTGAAGTAATCATTGAGTTGCTTTCAAAGGTAAAAAGGGCATAACATTTGCTAAGAAGAATATAAGGTAGAGGAGGCTTTCAATCGGAACAGACAAAACAAGACTATTTTTAAACCTAAATAGGTGAAATCCAAAAATTCCACAAGTACAACAGGTTAATGTATTAACCAGAACAAACTTAAAATGGAAGCCCATAGATGATAAAAGAAAATCTACACGTTGCATTCAACACTGGTAGAAACAATGGCATTACTTAGTTAACATAATAGAATTGATATTCAACACTACCATTCACCCAGGAGGCATTAATATTAAAGAAATAGGGGACAACAGAGTCAACAGCCATGGATCCTTTCATGCAAACGCATAGTAAAGAGATTTCTCTTAATAATTGATGTACTTGAAAGTTAACTTACTGACCAACAGTACCCTGATCAATTTTCCAGGAGGAATATGCTATCAAATACTGGAGAATAATTCCAGTGATACGCCAAAGGTTTGTCCTTCACAGTGTAAGAAACATGAAACTATGATGGTAGTTTTGCGACCCTTGGACTTCTCAAGATCTGCAGAGGGAGGCCCTTAAAGATAGAATCGACTTCTATAATTATTTTTTTCTAATTTATACTTTTCTTTGTATAAGCATGGGATCTCAGGTTTGTAAATAGGCTTTCTGTTGAAACTCAAAAGAATTAACAACTCTTCAATTGCATGTATAAGTACATTCATACAAACATTTAATAAAAATAGAACAGTTCTACTATTTAAAGGATATAGTTACTTCGCTTTACACATCTTATACATTACATTTGAAATTGTAGCAAGAAATTACTGCTAATTCAAAAAAAAGCTAGAAGCCCCTTTCCAGCAACTTAAATCTTATCCATTCAAATTTGATAATATAGGGTGAAATTTTGGCAAGAGTTAGACTCTGTCAGTATATATATATATATATATATATATCAAAGAAAGATTGATGCAGGAGAACTACGAAATGAGAAAAGACTGTGGCTCCCACTAACTGATCAAACAAGTCATCAATTCTTGGTAAGGGATACTTGTTCTTAATGGTAAGCTTGTTCAACTCCCTGTAATCAATACAGAGTCGCATGCTACCATCCTTCTTCTTTACAAAGAGAACTGGTGCTCCCCAAGGTAAAAAAATTATCTTTCTCTATGTAATTCTATTTTAACATTTACTAATTCACACAACCTTCAAACTTCTCTGTATAATTCTACTTTTACATTTACAAATTCATATAACCTTCAAATTTAAGATCACACCATTGATTGAAATCTACAACATACGAATTACATATCAATCGAGTTTCATCAAATTTCGAGATGATTTAACCATTCATCAAAGATATAAAAATTAAAAAATGTGATGATGAACAAACAATATATAGAGGCCCTATTAAAAATTTAGTTTGACCCATGTATTCCACCAATCAAAATTATCAAACATTATCAAGATATCATCAACAATCCATGGATTTGATTACAAGTCATATGAAGGTCTCTACAATTTGAAATATCAATTATATCATCATATGCAATTAAAAAAAAATAAAAATAAAAAAAATAAAAATCATATGCAATTAGACCCTTCCATTATGAAAATTTTAATTCATCAAATAAAAAAATCTTAAAGATAATCAAAGTTGCGCATATACCACCTATTTTAATGACTTTAAAGAGAATGTGCAGTTTTGATCTTCCATTTGAAGGTGATAACATCAAAATTCAATTGTGATAACCATGATTTGCACATCCTATAAATATATGTATATATTGCTTTCTTTCTTTCCATTTTTGCCCCTACTATGTCCCTGGATTGTAACCTAATGTTTAGGGCTATCCAAATTTCTCACTCAATTTGTAAGAGATTTTTTTTTACAATCTTTTCCAATGAAATGTGGTAACCATCACCTCTATGAACCATATCAAGTGAATGTTTTGTGTCCATCGAAGAATGTTTTAGTGCCTCAAAGACATCTACAAGACTCCAAAATCTTACGTGGGAAATGGCTTCATAAACTTTTTCAACCACTAAAGACAACTGAACCCACAAGATTCTTGTAGCACCTTGTGGTTCCTCCCTAAGTCTAAGTACACATGAAAGAATGAAGAATACATATTGTTAAAGAGGAGGTGCATAAGCGGATAAAGCATGCCAAATGCATCCATGTAGAAGATGCACTAGTTAGGGTAAGGTAGTTCAAGTGTGGCTAGGCTAGGTTGATTTAGTCTAAAAAGTTTTAAAAAATCTTATATATGCTACTATGATGCACTGAGTCACTGACACACCTCTTGAAGAGAGAATACAATGTAGGACACGACGGACACCTGTCTGATTAAAATAATGTTTAAATTTAACCCGAACGGCTGGGACACGTGTCAGACATGACTAGGAAATGTGTGTCCTAATGTTTTATGATAAAATTATTTTAAATTATAAAATTTTTATATTTTTTTATTTACTAAATCAAAGAAAACATCACATTCGCTCGAATATGCATTAATACGATTATTAAAAGGCATGATTATTAAAGAATGAATCTTTTTTTTTTAGAGGCAGTAATGATTATTGAAAACCTTTATGCCCACCGGTGTTTGCAATTTTTAGCAATATGGAATAAGAAGAATTTTGATTATGTCTGGAAAATCTTTATGTGCCTGCATTATTGTAATTCTAGTTGATGGAATTTGTTGAAATAGGTGAAAAGTTAGAATAATATAGAAAATATTTAGAACATAAAAGATTTAAAATTAACAGAATAAAGATTAATATATGATATTCAATGAACTATTATGGGAGAGAACTAGAGAAGTAAATAGATACATTTTTTGTGATTTAGATTAGAGGTTAAAGAAATATTATGGGAAAGAACTAGCGAACTAGAGAAGTAAATGGATACAAAGAAGAATCAACTTTCATTATATAATATCCAATGAACTACAACAAATCTTTCTCTTGATGAACCAAAATTGAAAGCAATAATATTCAATGATGATGATATTGAAGGCCAAAAACAAACCTCTGAAGTTAATCCTAGTAGTTGAAGCTTGAATGATTAAATGTTTAATGTTGTAGTAAATAGTTATTTGCTTATATTTTTGTGTTTGTACTAGATATTTTGTACTAAACATTTTATATTATAAGCTAAGCAAGTTATCATGCCATTCATTTATTATTGTTTGTCATTTCTGATATGATGTTATAGTAATATATATACACCAATGTTAAAATTGCATATTCGAGTATTGAGGCGTTTTTCATTCGTGAGGCGAGGCGTAAGCCTCAAGGCATTTTGAGGCGTAAGCCTCAAAATCAAAAGATTGTGTAAACATAAAATGATAAATTTGTTATATACTAATGAGTGAATTATATAAAACATAAAAAAGCAGAAGATATGAAGTGAAATCAAAATATCTCAATAATAAGACAACATGAAATATAGTTCAACTCAAAATTCTATTTTTCTAAAATCCCGGTATTCTTTTCATTAACATATACTTCTGATTTCCAAAAATAAATAGCAATGACATATCACATAAGAACTTATAAGTCATCAGCACTGTCATCACCAAGGGGTTCTTCATTTGAATCATCATTATGGTGAACTGCTCTCTCCCCTTCCTCCTCTCCTATAGTCTAATGTCGGGCATTTACTTCAAGATTTATGTAAGTTTTAATATATATAGTGTGAGGCGTAAGCCTCATGCCAGTGAGGCGAGGCAGGCCTCAAGGCAGGCTGCAACCAAGTTGAGGCGCAAGCCTCATAAAAAAAACTCGTGGCGTAAGCATTGAGGCATTTTATACTGGAATTGCGCAAAGGCGAGCCTCATATTGCGCGATTTTAAACCGTGATATACACAACATAAGAAAATGTAATGTCATATCCACGTCATACCCGTGTCCTATATTTTCACAAAAAGCCTTGTCTCGTGTTGGTGTCGTGTCTGTGTTCGTGCATCATAGATAAGCTATGACCATTTTTCATACTATAATCTAAATCCAACATGTCAATCATAAAATATCTATGTTTATAAACAATGTAATAAGATGGGACAAATATATTTATCATAAATAAAATTATTTAATAAACATCTCATACTTTTGTACTAAGAAATCATATTTATATAAAATACAGGTCCAGCGACAGATAAGATTAAGAGAGTCGTCTTAGATGGTTTGGTCACATAGATGGTTTGGTCACATAAAACGTCAACCTTCTGATGATCCTATTGGTACAACAGATGTATTAGATCTAGCATCTGTTAAGAAGGGTAAAGGTAGGCCTAAAAAGACTTGATTAAAAAATATTAAAATGACTTTTTTTATGAGAATTCGACACTTAATCGTACACAGTGGAGAAAAAGGATTCATGTAGCAACCACATGTAGTGGGATGAAGGCGTATTGTTGTTGTGTAGAAAAAAAATTTGTGTTATGATATATTGATGCAAAATGCATGAGGATGGGATTAAAAACCTCAGACTTACATTGAGTATAATATTGCATATGATATATGCACTAATCTCAACACAAATCCAAGGGCTATGAAGCCCACATCTTAATGTGTTTTGCAACATAATATTTTGACACAATTTTTTTTCCTTGAAATGTAGTCATTAACATATAAAAGTTAACTAAACAATAGTTAAATTTTCAATGATTATCTATATAATACATAATAAGTTATGAAAATATTAAGTATATTAATAATAGTACATATTAATGTAACATACATAACTAACTACATTTAGATAATACATATTAATGTAGCATACATAACCTACTACATTTAGTACATGTACGGTACTTATGATAAATAAATAAATTAAAAATAATTTATTATTGACACAATAAAATAATTCAAATTAAAATAATAAATTACATTAAACAAATTATTATTATTATATTAATAAATAGACTTTAAATCAATTATATTTATATTATATGAAAGTAAACAATATTATGACCATTTATTTTTTGTGTCTATTTGAAATATTTTTTTTTAAACAATTAAAATAAGGATTATTACACAAATACCATGAATTCAACCTTATTAAAAACTTCCACCCATACAAAAATAACAAACTATCAAACCCATGTATTTGTACAATGCACAATCAAATCATTCAGAGTAAGTTTTGATATTTGGGTTGGAGTTTAACAAATAGAGATAGAAGAGTGTTAATTTTAAATGTTAGAGGAGCATACATGAAACTGTCTAAAAAAATAAAGGTATCGTAAGAAATACTAGCTCTATCGTACATAATGTATATAAGAATCTACAAAACATTAAGCTATTCACCATTAAATATTTGATCTTATTTTATAAAAGTAATTTTATCAACATGTATATTGCTTTCAATAAAAATTATGTAAGGATATCTAGATCAACGATTAAAAAGGCGGAAGAGGCGTACGCACTAAGGCGCGACTTAAGGCGAGGCGAAGCATTTGCGCGTTGAGGCTTACGCCTCGTTGGATTCGGCAGAGAGTGCGCTTATTTCGCACGAGGCGTAGGCTTCGGTTCGTAACGCCTCGAAGCGAAACGAGGCACCGCTTCGATTTGTAAGTATATAGACCGAGCGGTGAGAGTCGTATAAGAGTCGAGTATTAGGGTAACATACCTGCTTCTGCTTCGGGTGAGAACTGAAAGGCGAACTCCGCCAACTTGGACGACCACAGTTCGGTCGAGTTCGAACATAGCTGGAGGCGATCGAAGGTAACGATTTATTTATTCTTCTTCTCTTGCTTCTCGTAATCTTCCCGTCATTTGCTTCATCTCTCGCTTCTTCTCCAGCTTCTTGTAATCGAAGGTTCTTTTTTCACGGCTAGGTAACGATCTTTCTTCCCGTTATTTGCTTCATGTCTCGCTTCATCAGATTGTACATGCTCGGTACCGCTCAGTACATGCTCGGTACTGCTCAGTACATGCTCGGTACCGAACAAGTACATAATTTTGTTCTGGGGGCGCTGCCCCCGGAAACCCCCGCAAGGGCGCTGCCCCTTGACCCCGCGACCTTACCGGGCAGATCGAACCCCGCCAGGGGGGCAGCGCCCCTTTGGACCCCTGGCAGACTGGTATATTTTTGTATTCATGTTGTTTTATTATTGGTATTTGGTAGTACAAATAATTGTTAAAATATATCCTATTGTTAGCATGACTAATGGCACAAGAAGAAAAGATCCTGCATGAAAATATGGAACTCAAGTTGAAGTGTCAGGCGAAGGTGCAAAGAAGGGATATGTTTACATGAAATGTAATTTCTGCGAGAAACGCATAACTGGTGGCGTCAAGAGATTGAAGGATCATCTAGCCAGCACTCATGTCAATGTGGGACCATGTGCAAAAGTTCCTGATGAGACGAAGAAGGAATGTACAAATTATTTAAAGAAGTTTGCCACCACAAAGGAGGTCACATAAAGAAATATGAAAGAGATGATAGGAAACTCTTCTTACTATGGATCACAGCATGAAGGTTCAAGTACTATAAGCCATCTAGTTTCTTCTAATCGAGGCAGTCGGGGGCCCATGGATAGATTTATGCTAAATATTGATAACGACGAAAACATAAATACTCAGGATATTCAGCCTCCTACAGCTACAAAAGAACTCAGGAATAGAGTTTGTTTGGATATCGCCAGATTCATTTATGAAAATGGGATTCCATTTAATGTTGTTAGGAGTCCGTCGTGGATCAATATGTTACGATCTATTGGAAGCTATGGAAGAGGATTACAACTTCCAAGCATGTATAAGCTGAGGACTTGGATGCTGAATGAGGAGTTTAAGACAACTCAAAAATGGTGGATGATGTTAAGAAGACTTGGATTGAGACAGGAGTGACAATAATGTCAAATGGTTGGTCAGATATTCGACATAGAAGTATTATTAATTTCTTGGTCAATAATCCATATGGAACAGTTTTTCTCAAATCAGTAGATGCTTCAAGCTTTGTAAATAATGCACAATTATTGTTTGAAATGTTGGATGAAGTTATGGAGGAAGTGGGAGATGCCTTAGTAGTACAAGTTGTTATTGATAATGCAAGTGCATACAAAGCTGCAGGAAGAATATTAATGGAGAAGAGACATCACCTTTACTGGACTCCTTATGCTGCACATTGTATTGACTTGATGCTTGAGAGGTTGGGACAGTTGCCTCAACATAAATCAACCATATTAAAGACCAAATTCGTTAGTAAGTTTATATACAATCATTCTTGGGTACTCAACTTGATGAGAAAATTCACTGACAAGGAAATTATTAGGCCTGTTGTTACAAGATTTGTTACTGCATATTTAACATTACAAAGATTCAAGGAGTTAAGACAACCTTTGGAAGCAATATTTGCTTCTGAAGAGTGGGATAAAAGTTCATGGGCCAAAAAACAAGAATAAAAACAAGTTAAAAAGATTGTTATGAAAGACGATTCATTTTGGCGCAGTACAAATTATACTTTGAAGACAACATGACCATTAGTAAAGGTGCTTAGAATGGTTGATGGTGAGAGGGCCCTGGCTATGAGATTTATTTATGAAGCAATGAATAGGGCTAAAGAAAATATTGCAAAAGAATTGAGAGGTCAAGAAAGTGCCTACAAAGAAATATGGGATATTATAGATGAAAAGTGGGATAGACAATTACACCAATACTTACATGCTGCTGCGTACTATTTAAATCCCCAATTTCATTATGATAAGTATTTTCATGTTGACAAAGAGGTGAAAATAGGTTTGTATACATGTATGGACAGACTCATTTCTGAAGAAGACTATCTCAAAGTGAATGATCAACTTGAGGATTTTCATTTGAAGAAGGAAATGTTTGGATTTAGAGCAGCACAAGCATGCTACAAAACACGATCTCCTGGTATGTTTGTATTTTGTGTATTTATAATTTTAATGTTAATATTTATGTTCAAGTCTTCAACTTCAACCAATATACATAAAATACTATGTTTGACTTCATGTAGAACGTTGGTGGGCTCAGTTTGGATATGATGTTCCTGAATTGAAAGCTTTTGCAGTTAAAGTTCTTAGTCTAACGTGTTCGGCTTCTGCATGCGAGCGTAATTGGAGTATCTTCAATCAAATTCATACAAAGAGAAGAAATTGATTGGCGACAGATCGAATGAACAAACTAGTTTATGTTATGTTTAACAAAAAACTGAAAGATAGACATCTCAAATTGCAAAATCAAGAAAATATTGAGAATG